GATGCCAGTCCCAATCCAGGGGGAAACATCCCTTTTAGGGTAATTAAAGGCAAAAAAGTCTAAATTTATCTGCTAAAAACAAAAGTCTCAATAAAAGACTGAATTATTCTCAGATGAGCAGCAGGATGCAGCTCATCTGGAAGCATCTGTGTGGTTTTAAAGTCTGTTTTTATGTTAGAATTTAAACTCTTTAATCCTCATTTATTCATGTTTATCTCACAGTCCTCACTTTCTATCAGGTAATTTGCACTTTTTATCTGATATGTTTATCTCAGAGTTCTGGGCTTTAAAATCAGCGGATTCTCATTTGAAAATGTCAGTAAAGGACAGGTTGAAAGGACTGAAAGGACTTCTCAGGATGCTTGACGATTCTCAGAGTACCCACAATGCTTTGCACACAGCTTACACGCTCTGCAGTCGTTGCTTTCCGTTATTTTACAGTTGGATGAGCTTCATGGTGAATTAGACTGTAAATCCAGCCGCTCATTTCCATGAAAAACTCTTGAAACCTGAGACAGAAAGGCCCAAAGCTGCCCCCCCCCCCTCCAGTTCCGGTGGCTGGTAAATGGCAATCATCGCCCCTGACGACCGTCATCAGCTCTGTGCTTAATGGAGCCGCAAAGGGCAGCTGAGCTCAGAGGACCGGAGGAAGTCCAGAGGGGGAACCGGGCCTCTAGTGGGGGAGCTCATCCATCTCTGAACCAGAACCAGAATCTTCCTGTGAACCGGGTCAGAACCAAACATCAATGCTAGAGTTTTTCCAATAAACTTCAAAGTCAAAAAGCTAAAGTTTTATTTTCATTTACAGATGATCCAGTTTCAACAACTCAGAGGACAGAACGATCCTTCATCAGAACCGGAACCAGCAGTCGGACCTGCTGGTTCTGCCTTCACAGTGAGCTCTGCAGGTCGGTTCTGCCGGTCCCAACGTAACAGAAAAGGTTAAAAACGGTTCCAGGATCACAGCTGGACTCCAAACATTCAGGAAGGCGGCCACAGTGGCTCCGATTCACATTCTGCATGCAGCCAGCGGGTCCAGGGGTCAAAGGTCAGCCAGGGGCGTGCACGGCCACCAGGAGCCTTTATGGAGCTTTTTGTAACTCAGAATGAATCAAATCTACTAAAAAAAACAGTACTTATTTTGTTTAAGATAAAGAAAAATTCACATTCAGAAAACCCTGTGCCCTGTAAAACAGGCCCCGCCCTCTGGCTGACCTCCGACCTCTGACCTCACAGGTCGGCTCCCTTTGACCCAAACAGTAAAATAAACTTAGACTCAAAGTGCGTCGGATCGCAGACTCAGTGGTTCAAGAGAGGGAATGGCTTGGGAGGGGTCAGATCCCCGTGGGGGGGTCAGGACGCCATGGCACCCGCTGTGGGGGGGTCAGGAAGCCGTGGGGAGGTCGGGACGCCATAACGCCTGCCGTGAGGGGGTGGTCGGGACGCTGTGGGGGGATCCGGTCGCCATGGCACCCGCCGTGGGGGGGTCGGGACATAAAACAACGTAAAACAAAAGGGCTCTGGACGCTCCCAGGACGCCACACATGCAGTGGCGGCCGGCGGCCCGGCTGGCAGTGGTCGGTGCTCGTTTAGTCTGTCAGGTAGCCCCGCCCCCCTCCCCCCTCAGTCCTGGGGGAGGAGCCCTGCCCTATAGCAGCTCCTCTCTGGGCTTCTTGCCGTTCCTCAGCGAGCCGTTGGGCCGCAGCAGGTGTCCTCGCTCCTGCTCCCAGGAGACGCCGCCATGGTCATCACTGTCCAGCTCCGAGTCCGAGCGCATGAGGGCTGAGGAGGAGGGGGCGGGGGCCAGCTTCAGCCGGGCTGGAGGAGGAGGAGGCATAGTTATCACACCGGGAGGCAGGGGGAGGAAGAGGGAGGGAGGGGGAGGCTCTCACCAGTTCGTTGGGGCAGCTCCAGACCTTCTTGGTCTTCGATCATCTTGTAGCGGCTTTTGCTCCGACGGACTTTGCTTTTACGCCTTCAGGAGGACAGAAACGTGAGACGAGGAGCCGCCTTAACCCCTGACCCCTGACCCTTAAAACTAGCCTGACCATTGACCCTTAACCCCAGCCTGACCCCTCAACATCACCCTTAACCCTAATTTGACGCTTAACCCCAGCCTGACCCTTGACCCTTAACCCTAATTTGACCCTTAACCCCAGCCTGACCCTCGACCCTTAACCCCTGACCCTTGTTCTGCCGACTGCATTGAGACGGAAAACAAACCCACCTCCTGCAGCAGCACACCGTCGCCCAGGCAACCGTCGCCATGGCAACCAGGATCAGGAAGGATGCTATGGTCACATAGAGCACGCTCCACTCTGCAAGCAGAACAGGGTTCAGAACCGGGCCGGACCCCCCCCTTAAAGGCAGAACCGGTACCAAACCCCTCCCCCCATCCTACCACAGTTGCTGACGGCATCTCCCAGCTGGGCTCTGATGAAGTTCTCCATCCAGAAGGGGTGGCACACGCAGCGCCGGGAGAACGGGTCGCACTCACCGTGGCCCGAGCAGTTCAGCTGGCACACTGAGGGGCAGGAGGCAGGTCAGAGTGGCCCAAAAGGGCCCGCGGCCCTCCGGAGTTGGCCAGAACCAGCCGGAACCGGCCAGAACCAGCTGGAAACCAACAAGAACCAGCCAGAAACCAGCTGGAAACCAACCAAAACCAGCCGGAAACTAACCAGAACCAGCCGGAAACCAGCCAGAAACCAGCCGGAAACTAGCCAGAACCAGCCGGAACCGGACAAAACCAGCTGGTAACCAGCTAGTAACCAACCAGAACCAGCCGGAAACCAGTCAGAACCAGCCGGAAACCAGCCGCCACACTCACCCACGGTGTCGACCCGCCGGGCCTTGAAGATCAGGAAGTCGTTCTTCTGCTTGCGCAGCTTGTTCCTGAGGCTGAGCGCGACGCCGCGGCCCGACAGCGGCGGCCGGCCCGGTCCGCCCGACACCAGGAACACCAGGCGGGTGCTGAGGGGAGCACAGGGTCAGGGGTCAGGGCTCAGGGGTCAGGGGACGGCGGGGACGGGGGGGGGGGGGGCCTCACCTGTGCTCGTTAAAGGCGCTGATGTCCCGGACGATGATGTCGCTGTCCAGCACGCCGAGCAGCACGCCGACCTGCCGGAGCAGCATGTCGCGCTGGCGCTGGGACACCTGGGACACCGGCACCTCCAGCAGCAGCTCCACCTGGTCACGCTCCCACGGGTCTGAGAGGTCAGAAGTAAGCAGAACCAGGGGGGGTCAGCGTGACGGGTACCTCATATTCACACTGAACTGAGACGAGTTTAGAGCCCAATCCGACCATAAACCGACTCAAACCAACCCAAAACGACTCTAAACTGACCCAAACCTACCATAAACTGACCCAAACCGAACTAAACCGACCCAAACCGACCCTAAACTGAACCCAAAATGACCCAAACCGCTCTAAACCGACCCAAACAACCATAAACTGACCCAAACTGACCATAAACCAACCCAAAACGACTCTTAACTGACCCAAACCAACCATAAACTGACCCAAACCAACCATAAACCTACCCAAACCGATCTAAACCGACCCAAACCAACCCTAAACTGAACCCAAAATGACCCAAACCGCTCTAAACTGACCCAAACTGACCATAAACCAACCCAAACCGCTCTAAACCGACCAGAACCGACCCTAAACTGCACCCAAACAGCACTAAACCAACCCTAAACCGAACCCAAACTGACCCAAATCTATTCTAAACGGATCCAAACTGCTCTAACCCAAACCGCCCCAAGCCGGACCCACCTGGCCGGACCTCCACCGCTCCCCTGCTGGAGCTGCTCTGCCCTTTGCTGTCGGTCACCGTGAGCATGAAGCTGTACTTCCCCTCCACCAGGTTTCCCAGCAGCAGCAGGGCCTGGTGGTCCGAGTTGTTCAAAACGTCCTGGAAACGGAATTTTGTTACTGGCTCCATAAATGAAACAATGGCATATACATATTTACATGTCTATATATATATATATGTATGTATGTATATATATATATATATATACATACAAAATTCCTCATATAATATAGATAGATATATACATAAATATACTATATGTATATATATAGGTCAAAATAAGTGGTGGTGATAGTGTCAATGATTAAGTTTGACTCTTGGCAGCTTTAGAGGCCGAGCCGGTCCAGAGGGACCCGGTTCAGGTGGACCCAGTCCCTGTGGTTCCAGGTGGAGCCCTGCTCACCCCGGCCGCCGGGCTGCTGTCCTCCCTGGTCCACAGGTAGCTGACCACCCCCTTGTCGTCCCAGGACCGCGACCCGTCCAGGGCGGCCGTCCTGGAGGGCAGCGAGACGGGCGCGTTGGGCAGGACGCGGGCCACCGGAGGCTGGTCCTTTTCTGGGGGGAGACCAGGACATGTGGAGGGCTGGCTCTGGTTCTGGTTCTAGTTCTGGTCCAGGTTCTGCTTTTGGTCCAACTTTACCTTCCCTGACGACGACGGTCACCGTGTCGCTGCTCTCCAGCTGCCGCTCGTCACCGACCGTCAGCGTGAACTTGTACATGCCGACCTCCAAGCCCGTCACCGTGGCAACGGCGCCCTCTGCGTTCTCGATCTTAACGCCGTCGGGTCCGCTGGAGGGGACAGAGGAGGAGAGAGCTCAGACCTGGTTCTGGTTCTGATGGAGTTTCTGTCCATTTCTGGCTCTGGTGGAGCTTTCTGCCTGGTTCTGATGGAGATTTGTGCCTGGTTCTGGTTCTAGTGGAACTTTCTGTCTGGTTCTGATGGAGATTTCTGGTTCTGGTTCTGGTGGAGCTTTCTGTTTCGTTCTGCTGCATCTTTCTGGTTCTAATTGAGCTTTCTGTCTATTTCTGGTTCTGATGGAGCTTTCTGCCTGGTTCTAGTTCTGATGGAGCTTTCTGCCTGGTTCTGGTGGAGCTTTCTGGTTCTGGTTGTAGTGGATCTTTCTGGTTCTGGTTCTGATGGAGCCTTCTGCCTGGTTCTGATAGATCTAGCTGGTTCTGATGGATCATTCTGGTTCTGGTTCTGATGGAGCTTTCTGCCTAGTTCTGGTTTCTGGCTGAGCTTTCTCCCTGGTTCTGGTGGATCTAGCTGGTTCTGGTTCTGGGCGGCCCGGCTCCTGACCTGGTCTTGGTCCAGTGGTAGGTGGCGATCTTCTGGTCGTCGCTGCTGGAGCTGCCGTCCAGCGTGGTTCCGTCCACCGGCAGCGTCAGCTCCTTGTCGGGCCCGGCGTCGGCCACCGGCGGCTTGTTGTTCTCTGGGGGACACGGGTCGGGTCAGCGTTTGGTCGAGACTTCATCATGACCCGCATCCTGTCAGCGGCTGGCAGAGGTCAAAGGTCACCCCCCGACAGGCCGGCGCTCACCTGGACGAACGATGACGGTGACCTGCGAGGTGTCCTGTTGCCCCGCCGAGTCGGTCACTGTCAGCTGGAAGGTGTAGTCCCCCTCCTGCATGGCGGACAGCTGCAGGGTCGGCGTGCGCACGCCCTGAGCAGAGGGAGGACGCCGTGAGCCGGTGGCGGCGGGTGAGCCGCGCCTGGCCGCCACTGACCACTGCTAGCCACTGTTAACCACTGCTAGCCACCGTTAACCACTGCTAGCCACAGTTAGCCACTGCTAGCCACCGTTAGCTACTGCTAGCCACCGTTACCCAATGTTTGCCACTGCTAGCCGCACCAAGCCACCGTTAGCCACTGCTAGCCACCATTAGCCACTGCTAACCACCGTTAGCCACTGCTAGCTACCGTTAGCTAGCCTCACCTGCATCTCCACCACCTTGTCTTTGCTCTCGGGGCTGAGCGACCACTCGTAGGACAGCGAGTCGTGGTCGTCGGTGCTGTGGTTGCCGTTCAGAGTGATGGAGTTGTGCGGCAGCTGGATGACCTGCAGGCAGAGGAGAGGGAGGTCACCTGACAGGGACACCAGTGGGGGGGTTGGGGGACAGGAGGTGGTGGGCGCACCTGGTTGGGGCCGGCGTTGGCCACCGGCCGGTAGTCCTTGGCTTTGTTGACGGAGAGCGACGCCAGAGTGGAGTTTGTGGCGCCGTCCGAGTCGGTGACCGTCAGACTGGGAGAGAACAGAGACAGAATGTGGGTCTAACGGGGCAAGGCCATGTTGGGGGACCCTGTGGGGGCTCTGGGGGGGGGGGGCAGGCGGTCGGACTACCTGAAGGTGTAGTTACCGGGCACCAGGCCTTTCAGGGTGAGCACGGCGGTGTCGGCAGAGACCTTCTCCTCCCTCAGGGGCCCCCGGACCTCCTCCCAGTGCCAGGAGACCACCTTGTCATCATCGGTGCTCTCTGGGGGAACAGCAGCTGTCAGGGGGGGGCAGGTAGAAGGGGGGGGGGGATGTGGGGGCAGACTCACGGCTCCCGTCGATCACGGTGGAGCTGGTGGGCAGCGTCAGCTCCTGGAACCGTTGCGACACCACGGCCACCGGAGGCTTGTTGACCCGCGGCTCTGCAGGAGAGAAGAGTCAGGAGGAGGAACAGCCGGAGCCCCGACCATCAGCGGCCCCCGCCGTGCTGCGGCTGCTCCAGCTGGGCCTGTGGGGAATTGGGCGGGGCCACCTGCCCACCTGGTTTGACGGTCACATTGACGAATCCCTCGCCGTGGGCGCCTTCTCCGTCCACCGTCACCCCGAACTCGTACAGGCCCACCGTCAGCTGGGGGGACACGCACTGTGAGACTGGGACCGCAAGGCCGCGCGGCGGCCATGGCAACGGCCATGGCAACGGCAAAGGCCGGCACCTTGCTGAGCTTCAGCGACGGGCTCTTCTTCACTTCCATCACGCCGCTGTAGTCTTTGGGGTGCGTTATCAGGCGCCAGACGAAGGCGTAGTCTGTTCCTGCACAGAGGGGCGGGTTCAGAGCCGGGCGCCGTTCAGAGCCGGGCGCCGCTCAGAGCCGGCTTTTACCTGCAGGGGGCGTCGGCAACACGAAGGCGTTGAGCTCCACCTCGCTGCTAGGCAGCGTCACCTCCACGCTCTGGCCGGCCGACACCACCAGCTCCTTCACTGTGGGGTCAGAGGTCAGAGGTCAGAGCTGCTCCATCAGCACCAGTTCTGACCCGGAAACCCAAAGCGTGCAGCTACCTGACTATGTTATTTATCTTTTAATCAAATTCTATTTTATTCTATATCATTTTATTGTATTGAATTTTAGTGCACGCTGCACGCTGCCCTGAGGCCTGATAGGAGTTAAACCTGTTAAACCAGTTAAACCTGTTAAACCTGTTAAACCTGTTTGCTCCAGTCCCACATAGACACATTCCTCTATGTGCGCACACACACACGTGCACCCCAGACCGGCCCAGCCTCACTCACCCTGGGCGGGGGTCGGGGTGATGACATCACTGCTGTTGGAAGACGCTGGCGGCTCCTCGGTTCCGGGTCCCGTGGAGTTCTGCCGGTCCGGGCCGGACTCGGAGCTGCCGTTGGCGGGCAGGGTGAGGTTCTGCCGGTTCTGCCGGGCCGTCTGGGCGGTTGTGGCGCTCGGCGCCGTGGACGACGGGCGCTGAGGCACCGGGTCTGCCTTGTGGGCGGGGCCTCCCGTGTGCACGCCGTGGCGTCCGGCGTTCCGAGGGTTCCTGCGCCGCTTCCTGACGGGACCCTGAGGGGAGGCAGAAGGGTCCAGGTGGGTCCAGAAAGTCTGTTCCAGCCGGGTCCAGGTGGGTCCGACCAGTCCATGTGGGTGTAGCCGGACCCAGCCGGGTTCTGGGGGAACAGCAGGGTCCAGCCCCACCGACCCGGCCCGGTCCAACCAACTGGGACCGGCCAAGTCCTGCCGGTCCACGTGGGTCTAGCCAGGTCCAGCCAGGCCCAGCTGGGTCCAGCCCCATCGACCCGGACCGGTCCAACCAACTAGCCGGTCCACGTGGGTCTAGCCGAGTCTGGCTGGACCCTGCTGAGTCCAGGAGGACCAGTAGGTTCCAGGTGGGCCCAGCAAGGTGGGCCCAGCAAGCTGGTTCCAGACGGGTCCAGCCCCACCGATCCGGCCAAGTCCAGCCGGTCCACGTGGGTCCAGCTGGGTCTAGCCGGGTCTAGCTAATTCCAGCCGGGTCCAGGTGGATCAAGCTGGGTCGAGCCTGCCTCAGCAGTTCCAGCCCCACTGACCCAGCCCCCCCACACCACCCCTGCCCGCCCCACCCCCTCCTACCTTGGCCAGCAGCTGCAGCAGCCCCAGGGACTCCTGGTGGGGCTGCGGCAGGGCGCTGATGGTGCAGCCCCCCCCTGCTGCCGGCCGGGGGCAGCTGAGCAGCACGCAGTGGCCCCCCAGGCTCCACACGGCCTGGCAGCTGGGCTCCAGGCAGCAGGACTCCCAGCAGGTGGCCCCCCCCCGGCCCGCCGCCAGCGGGTACCAGCCCAGGCCAATGGTGCTGCTCCAGTGGATCCCCAGCACGCCGCCGGTGACCCGGCACAGCCCCGACACACCTGCACACAGGGGGGGTCAGGTTCTGCCGACCGGACCGAACCGGACCGAGGTCCTGCCGGCTGGACCGAGATCATGCGGTTTAAGAACCAGACACAGGCCAGAACACGGTCCACCTTTAACCAGCCTAGAACCAGAGAAGCTCAGGACCACATTCAGAACCACATTCAGAACCACATTCAGGACCTCAAGACACAATTCAGGACCTCAGGACCACATTATAGACCTCAGAACCACATTCAGGACCACATTCAGAACCTCAGAACCACATTCAGGACCTCCGGACCACATTCAGAACCACATTCAGGACTACATTCAGGACCTCAGAACCACAGTCAAAACCTCAGGACCACATTCAGGACCACATTCAGGACTTCAGGACCACATTCAAGACCTCAAGACCACATTCAGGATCTCAGGACCACACTCTGGACCTCAAGACCACATTCAGGAGCTCAGAACCACATTCAGGACCTCAGGAGCACATTCAGGACCACCTCCAGGAGCCGAGCCGGCTGGCTGGCCGTCATGGCGCTCACCTGTGGGCGGGGCCAGGAGCCAGAGGTAGGTCAGGAACAGGTGAGGTAGGCTCCAGGGGAGCAGCTGCTGTGGTGCATAGGTCATGATCGGACCGGACCCAGAACCTGCGGGGGGGGGGCAGAATGGGTTAGCAGGCTGAGAGAGGTCAAAGGTCACGGCAGGCAGTGCGGTGCTGCATGACTGAACCGGGTCAGCAGAACCCAGAGACCTGCTGGGGGGTGGGGGGGGCACCCACCCATCCTACCTGTGTCCTGGTCGGCTGGAAGAGGAGACGGGGGCGTTAGGTCGGCAGCGAGATGCTGAGAGGACACGGCTGAGGACGACTCCACACCTCCTCTCTGAGGAGGAGATCCAACATGGCCGCCTCAGGAGGCTCCAGGGGCTCAGCAGCTCTGAGGCAAACTGGAGGAAGAAGGAGGAGGTCAGGACAGGGGTCAGAGGTCAGCTGGGAAGGGGAATCAGCCACGGAAAATGGTTCCGATCTGCCTGCAGCAGAACCAGGCCCAGCTCTTTTTCTTCTGTCCTCCACTGGTCCAGTTTCCTCAAATGTTTTAAGGACTCTCTGCTCAACGGCTGAGATCTGCCCAGTTTTCAGCCAGCAGCTCACTGGGAATCCTCAGAAATCCGGTTTCCTGTCTGTCAGACTGGGTTTTCTTTGGCCTTTTTCCTCCATCAGTTACAGAAATGGAACAAATGATGTGTCTCTGTGACAGGCGGCTGCTGACAAAGAGCCTAAAGATCCACTTTAAGCTGCTGCTCTGCTGATTGGACACAACGCTGGCTCAGCCCTTGAGTTAGGGGCCTGTTTCTTCCTGAATGACTGGCTGAACAGAGAAAAAACACATTCCTCTGAAAAGGCTGAAAATTAGAAAAGAGGCAGGAACTCGGAGCTGTGACAGTTTGTCAGTCAGCTCTCAGATAGCAGAGGAGTTGTTTCCTTGAGCTGAAAACTGCAGGAAGTACTGAGCAGAAACGCCAAACTGCTGATTGGAATGTCGGAGCTCCTTATCTGCTGTTATCACAGACCAGGTTCTATCAGCACAGACCGGGTTCTATCAGCACAGACCGGTTCTATTATCACAGACACCAGGTTATAATAGCATAGGCCGGGTTATATTATCACAGACCGGGTTTTATTATGACAGGCCCTGGTTCTATTATAAGCACCGACCAGGTTCTATTATCATCACAGACAGGTTCCATCACCACAAACTGGGTTCTATCATCATCACCGACAGGTTCCATCACCACAGACCGGGTTCTATTATCACAGACCGGGTTCTATCATCACAAACCAGGTTCTATTATCACAGACTACTGTCTCGAGTTAAGTGTCTTGAGACATTTTAACAAAATGGAGGGCTCGTGCACGGTGCACCTGACAGGAGTGTAAACATTGGGGGGGGGGGGGGGGGGGGTTGTCACTGATCTGGATCCAGGCCCACAGATTCCGTCTCGGAACCGATCCGGACCGGAACACGCAGCCTGCTGGCTGAGGTCTGTGGACAGTCCGATCTCACCTGTTTAATCCGGGATCACCCGCGTCAAGGTGCCTCCAGGCCGGCAGCTGCTGCCTCCCGGAACCCGGCCGATGCACGTCCGTCACGGCCGGACATGAGAACCGGCGTGGAGGCAGAAGAACCGGACGCCTGCTCGCTGCTGTCGTGCTCCGGCCTGTGAAATGGGTCAGTGCCGCTGTCGGTCGTCCAGCTGATGGACTCCGTCTGTCAACGCTGACAGGTCAGAACTCGGCTTCCGGCGGCTGGATTTTCAGAATAAAGGGCATCTGATGCGCACAGGATAAAAATTGGAGATCAGATCTGATATTATATTCCAGCTGCAGGCAGATGTCGTCAGGAGGCCACTGCAGTTCCAGATTAAGCAGAAAACAGTGAACACAAATCAAGAAACTTCCGCTATGCGCACCCTGTTGACGGGTTAGAGATAGATTGGATCAGCCGGAGGGAGGGCCCGTCTGCTCTGCTCTGATTGGCTGCTTAGTTCAGTACGGAGCCCCAAAAGGGCCACTGCTGTCCCGTAGGTTTTCCCTGCTTCAGCACACCTGATTCACATCTGCTGCACACCTTAAAATCCATCCACCCATTTGTTTGAAGAATGATAAACACAATCTGCACATCCTCCACACAGTTTAATGATTAACCATTTTCTGGTTCTATTCCCACCACAGGACAAGCATCTTGTCTCTTAACTGTTTTTGATTTAAGGCCTTTTTATTGGAGTCTTTTTAAATGTTCATGAAGTGATCTAAGAAGCATATCAGTGACATTTATCAGCCTGGAACAGTTTTATTCACAGCTGTGTTCAGATTCAGTAAATTATCAAAAAGAGAAAAGAAATCAGAAATCACCACGTGCAGGTTAATTTTGTGACATAATACTTTTCTCCAAATTGAATTTTGTGCATTTCATAGTTTTTAGCTGCTTAAATATATTTGGGAAACCTTCAGAATATACTTTTATTGGTAATTATGAGACAAGTGCTTTGCTGCTGTAGTTATGAGGGCTGTTTGATGTTGTATCTATGTGTTTTAACATAGCATTTAGGATGTCAGTATTTTGTAATGAGTTTTAGTTAAAACCTGACATAGTTTAATAGCCAATCAGAGCGGGGCGACCCACAGCTGATCCACTCTTACCCCGAACCTTCCACTGAGAAGTTCAGTTTTCAGTGACCAAAGGCCGATAATCTGGTCAAATTGAGTACGATTCATTCACAAAAAAATCTTCAAATACTTTTATTTTTATATTAATTTGATACCATTTTGGCTGATAAACACGCAGAGCCTCGTTTCTACTGCGTTTCAAAACAAGCTAAAATGGCGTCTTCGCCTTTCAACAACCCTCTCTGTGATTGGTTGGCTGAAATTGTGGAACCGTTTTCATTGGTTTCCGGTTTGTTTTGGCTGTTTACTTCCGGTGTATGCCCGGGAACGTGCTGTAGAGCTGTGCTCGGAGTAAGTTGTGCTGAACGATTACTTTCCGTGTTTGGGGTGCTAACAGGCGGATTTCTGGGGAAACCGAGCCATAAGCGGCTCACCTCAACAGCCTGCTCGCTCTGACCCCTCAGAACCGCCATGGCGGACACAGACGGCGCTCAGCCCGGTGAAAGCAGCCCGAAGTCCGGCCTGGAGGAGCCGGGAGAAGGAGGTGACGGAGGAGGTGGTGGCCTGGCGGAGGCCCAGGGACAGGTGTTGGAAAGGTGTCTTCACGCGCTCAGCCACGCGAAAAACGACAGTCACACGTTGGCTGCACTGCTGCTGGTGAGTGTCATGACGTCACGGCGCACGTGACGCAGGAGGCGTCGAGTTCGCTGTGCTTTGACAGTCCGATGGCCCAAGAAGACCTCTTTATCTCCGTTTCTCTAACCGTTACTGCTGCATCAAATTCAATTTCCCCCTGTGGGATTAATAAAGTTGCTTTAATTCAACTGATTTCCCTCCATGTTTTCTGGAGGTTCTGTGCCTGGAGGCCTCTGGAGCCCAGCTGAGCCTCTCCTTTTCTGTCCCCCTCAGATCACTCGCTTGTGTCCGGCTAAGCAGCTGGACCGGCCCACCCTGCGCCGCATCTTCCAGGCCGTGGGCCTGGACCTCCCCGCCCGGCTGCTGGTGACCGCCCTCCAGGGCAGCGAGGGCCCGGCCTTGCCCCCGGACGAGCTCCTGTCTCTGGGCTCGGCCCTGCTGGCGGCCCTGAGCACCGACCCGGACATGGCCTCGCGCCCCCAGCTCCTCAGCACCGTGCCCATCCTGCTGGGCGTCCTGGCAAACGGTCCGGGCTGGAAGCAGCAGAACTGGGCCGGACACAGTCCAGACGCTGAGGTCCCGTTGGGCTGTGGCGAATCGGGGGAGCCGGGGCTGGACCAGGCCGTGGCTGCAGACTGCTACCAGGTGCTGACGGCCGTGTGTGCCTCTCCCAGGGGGGCCGAGCAGCTCCTGAACCGGGGCGCCGTCCCGGCTCTTTGCCAGGCGGTGCGGCAGAACCGGACCCTGAGCCACCAGAGGGGGCTCCCCCTGCTGGGGGGCCTCCTGTGTGGTCCCACAAAGGACAGAGCGTGGAGCAGACACTCCGCAGAGCTCCGTGCTCTGCTGCTCTCCCTCTGCACAGACTTCTGCCGGGCCTCGGACCAGAACCGGCTGGGTCTGTGTGCCCAGCTGGTGCAGTTCCTGCCCCCGGCGGGGCAGGCCGGTGCAGACGGCGAGGAGCTGAGGGGCGCCGTGGGCCGGGTGTGGGAGGCCATGCGGCCCATGCTGCAGGCTAAGCTAACGCCCCGACAGATCGGGCCGGTCCTGGTGCTCAGCGCCTGCCTGCTGGACCTGTTCGGCTGGGAGCATGTGGGTTCCCCAAAGTTCTGCTGCCTGCTGGTGAACCGGGCCTGCGTGGAGGTCCGGATGGGTTTAGAGGAGCCGCCCGGGACCGACTTGAGCCTGGAGCTGCAGCACACGCTGACAGGTAGAGCACTATCAGGATGTTTGTTTATGAACTTATTTAACATCAGGATGTTTGTTTATGAACTTATTAAACGTCAGGATGTTTGGTGGTTTGTGAGTTTACTATCAGGATGTTTGTTTGTGAACTTATTTATTATCAGGATGTTTGTTTGTGAACTCATTTATTATCGGGATGTTTGTTTGTGAACTTATTTATTTTCAGGATGTTTGTTTGTTTGTTTGTTTTTTTGTTTATTAGTTAATGATCAGGATGTTTGTTTGTGGATTTATTTAATATCAGGATGTTTGTTTGTTTATTAACTTATTTATCATCAGGACCTTTGTTTGTTTGTGAGTTTACGATCAGGATGTTTGTTTATTAACTTATTTATTAGGATGTTGGTTTGTGAACTTATTTATTATGAACTTAGAGTGATGAGTCTGTGCCGCTGCTCGCAGGCTGTTACCGGATCATGGAGGCCGCCATCGAGCAGGCGTGTGGCGACGCCCAGGCCCCGCCCCCCCACGCCGGCGCCTCTGCTCTCAGCCTGCAGCAGAGCCGGCAGGTCCTCGGGGTCCTGGAGGAGGCCTTCAATGCTGTGGTGTACCACCTGCAGCAGGTGAGCCCCCCCCCACCCCGGTGTGACATCATCCTGTGGCACTCTGCCTGCCGCCTCACCTCCTCCTCCTCCAACAGGTGGACCCCAGTCGCTATGACGACCCCTTTGTGTTCGCCACCTTCCGCTCGCTGTGCTCGTGGCTGGCCGAGGAGACTTCCTGTCTGAAGCAGGAAGTGACCGCGCTGTTGCCCTTCCTGATTGGCTACGGGCGGCGCCACCTTCAGGACGGGATGCCCGGACTGTCTGAGTGGGCGGCCAAGGCGTCGGGCGGAGAGGAGGGCGGGGCCTGCAGGGGCGGGCAGGCTCTGAGGTAGCGGCCGCCAGGTGACCCGATCCAAGCCTGCTGTGACGTCATAGCTAAAGCTCCGCCCCCTCCACAGGTACCTGCTGCCGGCTCTGTGCCACCTGTCGGCGGAGGAGGCGCCCAGGAAGGTGCTGCTCAGCCTGGAGGCGCCGGCCCTGCTGCTGGACTTCCTGTCGCAGGGCTGGGGTCACCTGAAGAAGAAGAGCGGCGCGGCCAGAGACCCCGGCCTGGAGACGGCGTGCTCCGCCCTGCTGAACTTCGCCGTCACCGAGCCAGAGCGCGTCAGGTAAAGGCCGCCGAGGCTGCCGCTGCCCCCGGCCGGCCAGCCTGACCAGCCTGACCCGAGCTGTTTGGTTCTGCAGGACGGACCCGTGTTTCAGGACCCTGGAGGCCCATCTGAGCGAAGCACTTCCTGCTTTGGTGAACAAGCCCCGCCTCCGGGTCCTGGCAGCCAATTACTGCTGTCTGGGGCTGATGATTGGCAGGCTGAGGTCTCCTCCTCCAGGTGAGAGAACTGCCACACCTCCTGCTCGTTAGTGATCCAGGAAGGGAAGTCAGAGATCTAAAAGGAGGAAAACTGACCCGGGTCTGCACTCAGAATCGGGTCTGTGGTCCTGAGGGGGGTGGGGGAGGTTCTGAGACCCGCTGTGTTGCATCATGGGTAATTGTTGTCCCCCACAGGACCTTTAGCAGCCAACCAGCGGCGCTTCTTCTCGGCGGCGTTGCGGCTACTCAGCGGCGCCCTGGACCCGGGGCGGGGCGGCGGCGGCTGGGAGGAGAGCTGGGCGGAGGCCGGCGAGCTGTGGCGGCTGAGCCTGCAGGCGCTGGGGGGCTGCGTCCGGGCCCAGCCCGGCCTGGCGGCGCTGCTCAGGGAGGAGGGCTGGCTCAGACACGCGCTGGGCGGCGTGCTGGGCGGCGAGCGGGCCGACCGCCACACCGAGGAGGCGCTGGAGGAGGCGCTGTGCGCTGCAGCGGAGGTGTGCCCCGACTGTCGGCAGGAGATCGCCGACGCCGTGACGAGCAGCGAGGGGGGAGCAGCCAGCAGGATGAGCAGCCTGAGGGGGCTCCTGAGGGTCTCATGAGGGGGTCCTGATCGGGTCCTGTTGGGGTCCTGATGGGGCTCCTGATGGGGTTCCTGTAGGCTGATAGGGTTCTGAGGGCTTCCTGATGGAGCTCCTGATGGGGCTCCTGTAGGCCGAGGGACTCCTGATGGGGGTCCTGTCTCTTTAAATGTGTGCTGCTCTGACGCCTCTGTGCACCAAACTTCCATCTGGACTGAAACGTGAGCAGAAACAAACTGAACACTTTAAGAATTAAAGAGAGAGAAGGAGCAGTTGTTTGTATATGAACTGATTCTGTTAAATAATAAAGTCTGAACAGAGTGAATAAAGTGAAGCTGCTTTTGGGGCGGAAACCGGAAGCTATCAGAGGCGGAAACAGCCAATCAGAGGAGAGACGGGCCCTGATGGGTTTTTGATGCTGAGGAGACCTCCCTCCCGGGGAGGCGATGCCCGAACCGGCCACCAGGGGGCACGCTTAGACCTCAGTCAGACCTGAACGCACGCGGCCTGAAAATGATCAACAAAATGAGCATCTCTCACATCTACAGCCTGAGACCAAACCGACCAATCAGAGGCCGAATTGCAGTCCCAGAATAACAGCAGCTGTTTGTCAGCTCACGGAGCGACGATAAGCTGCTTTTGGACGTTTAGGCCTTTTAAAGGTTTGGAGAAGTCCTCAGAATGAAGCACCTTAACGTGTTTAAACTGCTGATGTGTGTTTGATGAGCTGGAAATAGCAGAACTCCAACAGATAAGAAGAAAAACCTGAATAAAGGAAAGCAGCTCTGAAGAGTTTATTCTGCATCTCTTGTTTTCAGTCCAGTTTTTGTGTCTTTTCTCTGTTCAGCCTCTGAACTCTGAGTCCTTCAGGCAGAAAAAGGCCCCTAACTCAAGGGATGAGCCAGCATTGTGTCCAGTCAGCAGAGCAGCAGCTCAAAGTGGATCTTTAGGTTCTTTGTCAGCAGCAGCCTGTCGACACATCATTTGTTCTATTTCTGTAGCTGATGGAGGAAAAAGGCCAAAGAAAAGACATTCTGACAGACAGGAAACAGGATTTCTGAGGATTCCCAAAGAGCTGCTGGTCCTGATTCTGGTTTGTATGATGCAGGTTCTGGTTTTCTCTCCTCTTCAAGGTTCATTTAAGTTTTTTATTATCTTTTTAACAGAAACTTTTAGGTTTTTTTTTTAGAACTTTTCAATCAAACGTGCAGCTTATGATGATAAAGTATGTCTTCTTTTGGACTTGTATCAGATCTAAAGTACTTTTAGCATGGCAGCACCAACCCCGAAAAGTCCCCCCCCCCCCCCCCCCCCAACCCTCCCCTCCCCTCCCTCCTCCTCTGACTCATCCATAGAAACTCCTGCGCGTCTCCACCTGACTCACTCCTCCCTGCTCCTCCAGCCGGTCTCCTCCTCTCCCTCCGCCTCACACTCACCCCTCAGCGGCGGCCTCACACCCCCCAGCGGCGGCCTGACACCCGGACGAAGCACCGGCATGCTGTGGAAGTCCCGGAGCAAGATCGAGGCCGCGCAGGTAACACGCACGGCTCTGCCACCAGGCCTTCGGGCTCAATTTCACTTTCCACATTTCGGATTTGTATTCAGTAATTTAGTTTTTCACGGAATCTGCGTCCAAAGACGACTCAAACCGGTAACTTTACGCGCAAAAACGTCGAAATAAAACCGAAAATCGACTCAGTGCGCGCGAGTTGAACGAACTTGGCAGAATGTGTCTCTTTAAGAGAAGTGGACCCTGCCGACCCCTCCCCTCGTTCTGCCGGGCGCGCGCAGAAACTATAAGTAGTGCTCTCATGGAGAGGCTGCACGAGTCCGTGTGTGTTGTGCGCGCGTGTGCGTCGAGGCTGGCAGAGGCTGTTCAGGGCTCCGTGACACAGAGAGCAGGAGAGCAGCTGCTGCGCCTCATCTGATGGAGCGCTGAGCGGGATCCCGCCCGGACACACCTGTGCGTCGCCTTCACTTCTCGTTCGGGGCTTCCGGAGCTTCCAGATGTTGATCCACAGCTACACGGCCATGGTGAGTGAGACCCGGGGGGCAGGTGCTGGTCTGGGAGCAGGTGAACACCTCACAGACCTCAGAGAGGCTCAGAACCGCGGATTCGGGGAAAACCGAGATGAAAAATTAGTCTCGAACCCACGGCCTCCGGTCGCGTTGGGTCTTTTACGCCTCACAGCTCCGGACGCGGCTGCACGCGCGCTTAGAGGATGACGCGCAGCCCAGCGGTTCTGGTTGAAACTTTGCGGGATGAAACAGCGCTGTGACCGACTTTCCGCGGCCTGGTTTGTCCAGCGGATAATGGACAGCATCGATCGGAGTGACCCAGCTTCCCAAAAATCCGATTCCAGCCGGAAGTGTGGATCCCAGCTCTACTGAGGGGTCAGCGCGTGCCGGTTGACGCAGATTGCTTACAGAAGACCCCCCTCTCC